GCTTGCTGCTATTGCTTGGTGATGTGTATGTCCTTTGATGGGGGTTGCAATTCGGTGATGCTTTTATGACTTCTCTTAGTGACTAGGTTAACGGGTTATAGTGTGTTGAGTATCGGTTGGGGTTCGTATAATAAGTTTGCTTTAATTAGATGTGTGCGTTCTGCATTCAGTTCTGTGACCTTTGAGGCTTGTTTTATGTGTGTAATTGTAATTTGTGCTTTGGTGTGCGGAAATTATGGATCTTTTGTGCTGCTGGAGGAGTTTTGAGGGGTGGGTTTAGTTGTACCCGTGTGTTATGTCGTGTGACTGGTTGGTATGCTTTGTGAGTGTAATCGTACTCCGTTAGATTACGCAGAAGCGGAGAGGGAGCTAGTGAGCGGTTTAAGAACTGAGTATTGTAATGTTCCATTTACTTGTCTTTTTGCTTGTGAATATCTTATAATGTTTATTTTTTCCTGGTTAGGTTCAGTTCTGTTTTTCGGGGGGGATGTTGTTATTTGGGTTGGTTTGCTTCATGTGGTTTTTTTTATCTGGGCTCGTGCTACTCTTCCTCGAGTGCGTTATGACTATTTTATTGAGTTTATGTGAAAGTATTCTATTATGATACTGATTTTTTCTGTCTTTGTTGTTGTTTAGGGTAGGTACGGGTAGATTATGATAATTAAATCGTTAGGCTGTTAACCTTGCGAAGGCTGTATAGCCCCCGAGCGTAGCAATTTAGTAGTCTAACAAGGATGTGAGCTTTGGGAGTTCGTGGTCTCTTTATTGAGCTAGTTGACTGATAGGGCTGCTATGCAGGCTACTGTGATATAGTGGTTGTGGGATTAAGTCTCCGTCGGTACGTTGCTGTTCTTTGGGGTTGTGGGTAGCTTAAGGGCTAAAGCTTCGGATTCTTACTCCGGTGATGTCTTCTGGACTCTGCAATAGTGCGTGCTTTATTGGTGTGTTTTGTTTTATTTGGGGTCTTGCTTTCTTTGATTTTGGTCTTTCATGGTCTTTTTTGAAATTCCGGTTGTTGACTAGTTAATGGGTTTCGTTCTTGGGTAAGAGGATATGAGTGTGGGTTTTTGTCCCAGGGTGTGGTAGAGAAATATTTTAGTTATACTTATTTTTTTCTTTTGGTTTTCTTTGTTATTTTCGATCTGGAGATTTCTTTATTGTTGAAAATGCCTTTTGAGGGTCTGCTTTTTAAGAATTTACCGTACTATGTGTTTTTCCTTTGTATTCTGGCTGTTGGGTTTGGTATCGAGGTGAGAGGTGGTTATGTAGGTTGGGGTTATTAGATTGGGGGCTGTCGTGTTATCGCTGCTAACGATGATTTGAACTCAAGGCTGTGTTCGGTTCTCTTAGTAACAATCTAGGTTAAATCTAGACTATCTGTCTTCAAAACAGGGGGTGATGATATTTGTCGTTTGTTGTCTGTGTCTACGATATGACTTCTTACAATGGATCATAAGCGTATTGGTGTTATTTACATGATTTTGGGGGTCTGAGGTGGATTTTTGGGCCTGGGGCTTAGGTTTCTTATACGAGTTAATTATTTTGATCCTTATTTTAATATTGTTTCTCCGGATGTTTATAATTATATTGTTACGAGTCATGGGATAGCTATGATCTTTTTCTTTTTAATGCCTGTTCTTATTGGTGGGTTTGGTAATTATTTATTGCCCTTGTTGTTGGGTTTATCGGACTTGAATTTGCCCCGTTTAAAAGCGTTGAGTGTTTGGTTGTTGGTTCCTTCTGCCGTCTGTTTTAGTCTGAGGATGTATGGTGGAGCTGGTGTAGGTTGAACTTTTTATCCCCCTCTATCTGCTGGTGATTATAGGGGCTGGGGCGTTGATTTTCTGATGTTTTCCCTTCATTTGGCTGGGTTATCTAGTCTTTTTGGGTCCTTGAAATTTATTTGTACTATATGGTCAGCAATGGATAGTCGGATTTTGGAGCGTCATTCAATTATAGTGTGGGCTTATATGTTTACTTCAATTTTGTTGCTGGGTACGTTGCCCGTTTTGGCGGCTGGTATAACTATGCTTCTTTTTGATCGTAAATTTGGTACTGTGTTTTTTGATCCGTCTGGGGGTGGTGATCCGTTGTTGTTTCAACATATGTTTTGGTTTTTCGGTCATCCGGAAGTATACGTGTTGATTTTGCCAGGATTTGGTATGATTAGTCATATCTGTACTACGTTAACTGGTAATGATTCTTTGTTCGGTTATGGTGGTTTGGTGTTGGCCATGTTTGCTATAGTCTGTTTAGGAAGGGTGGTTTGGGCTCATCATATGTTTACGGTTGGGCTGGATTTGGGCACCGCTGTGTTTTTTAGCTCGGTTACTATGATTATAGGGGTTCCTACTGGAATAAAGGTTTTTTCTTGGTTGTATATGCTTGCGGGTACTCGTGAGCGTTTTTGGGACCCGATTATGTGGTGGATAGTTGGGTTCGTAGTACTTTTTACTATAGGGGGGGTTACTGGTATAGTTCTTTCTGCTTCGGTTATAGATGCTTTATTTCATGATACTTGATTTGTTATAGCTCATTTTCATTATGTGCTGTCATTAGGATCCTTTAGAACGGTGGTTATATCCGTTGTTTGGTGGTGGCCTGTTTTTACTGGTTATAGTTTAAATAAGTATTTATTAATGGCTCATTGAGGTGTCTCAATGTTAGGGTTCAATCTATGTTTCTTTCCAATGCACTTTTTAGGTATTTACGGTCTTCCACGTCGCGTGTGTTCTTACGAGCCTTGTTTTCAGTGGGTGAATACTGTGTGTAGAGTTGGTGGTATCTTTTCTGTGTTTAGTGGTTTTACCCTGATATACGTTATTTGGGAGTCTATGGCGGTGCGTAATCGTGTAGTTAAATTGTGAGGGGGGGCTCATGTTGTGTTTAATGTGTTAGTTAATCCCGTTGGGATGCATAGCTCTTACTTATATTATCCTGTTTGTTGACTTCCCGCCGGGTGTTTAGGGGAGGAGATATGGGGTGTTTGTGTTGGGGACATAGTTTAATTAGAATATAGTCTTTGTAAGGCTGTGGTGCTTTGGCTCGGTTGTTTCCATTGGTTTGAAGGCCGTTAAATCTGAGGGTTGTCTGAGGTTATTGTACCTTTTGCATTATGATTCACTGATGTTTTTTCTTTATTCAGGGATTTCTCGAAGGGTGGCGATTTCCCCTTTGCCTGCTTAGATCTGAGTGTTGTACAGGTCGTATAATTATCAGAGCTGAGGGGTGTAGTGATAAATAGCTCGTGCCGTCCTATAGCTAGTTGGTTGATTTCTTTTCCGTCTGTATCTACCCTGTTATGATATGGGGTAGAGGGCAAGAGGCGGTTTGATGATGGCTTGAGTGGGTTATAGGTTGAGGG